AGTCCTAACTAGACATAGACTAATTATAGCCGCAGTTTTCGCCTCATAAGCCCCTCCAACGCAAGCGAGACTTAGCCTGAATCAATACACACCAAGAGTTGACTTACGTGAAATTCGTATATCTCGGTAAATTTTCGATAGACTAGTTTTTCGGTTAGATCCTGCCATTTCACCAGGAACATGTAAACCTAATGAACAACAAAGAGAGTTCAGATTCTGCAGTTTCCACTGTGGGACACCCATTTATACCACCAAGTAGGGACAATCACTGTTTATGAACCATTTTCCAAGAGAGACCAGATAGAGTCTTGTTTTCTGGAAAAAACACACACTCACAATCTCTAGCTACAATCCATTTCAAAACCTGGGTCAGCGAGGCTCTGAATTTTTCTCTATTCACAGAAAATTCAGCAAGCACAGACAGGACAGCAGGTTCTAGCACATGCTGGTACGAAGAGCCGATTTCCTATAAACATAGCCACTCAGCAGATATAACACAGGGGTGCATCTAAACTACGAGGCTCTATCGAAAAAAGATACTTAAAAAGGGCTCTGCATTTTGCGTATCTTTTTCTGATACTTTTGTTGGAAGAGGCTTTTCTGAAGATTGGTCCATCTACACTGGGCCAATGTTGGAAAAAAACCATCTTTCAAAAGCCCCCTTCTTCCTCGTGGAACAAGGAATACAGGGGCTTCCAAAAGAGCACATTTGCTCTTCCGCAAAAAAAAAGCAGAAGAGCAAACGCGTTCCCTGGATGCGGCGGAGTTTTTTCGGAATATCTCTGGTATCCCGAAACCCCCCCAGAGTCTAGCCAGACCCTAGGACTTCTCCTCACTACCCCATTCACACCATCAGTGTGCTTCCTTTCACAATGCCCCCATTAATGGAAAGTCACCCAGAACTGATCCACTAAGCTAAAGTCCCATTCTCTTTCATATCTCTTCTCTAGTACAGTGTTTCTCAATCTTTTTTTAAAAGTGCCCCTTTAAAAAAAATTACCTCCACTATCCACAGTTTTCAGACACACACAAAAATTTTCTACCGTTGCACCGCATTTGTTTAAACAACTTAATCATAGCCAGGCAGGCAAAGAAATGTTGGGGTGTAAAATGTACAAAAATAATAAAGCGCTGTTTTCTCCAAATTTCAGTGATGTTCATCTACCCTCCCCCCGACTTCTCTTGAGTAACCCTATGGGTACTCGTACCACTGGCTGAGAAACACTGCTCCAGAACGGTAGAAGAAAATCAACTCTTTAGCAGCTCAGCTGAGGAGCATGTCAGAAGAAACACCATTTAATTACAAAAACATAAAAGACATAGCAAATGTAGAGCAAAATGACATCCTAGTACTGGTTGAAAACATCTATTTTCTTTCCATGAACAATTTCCATTTTTTCCCACAAAATCCAGAATGAATTTTGCTTTGCCATTTTGGTTCAAATCTTTTTCACCCAAAAACTGAACAATTCAGCAACATGGATCTGTTTTCACAGAACATGTGTATTATTACAGTGAAACTGCCTTTTTTCCCACCCCGCAAAAAATTGATTATATACAACAGAGCTAGTTGGAATTGTTCAGAGAAAGAGATTAGGGATTGAAGAGGTTTGTTAGAGAAAGAGACTAGAAATAGAAGGTAGAGAGACTGGTGAGGAACGAGAGCCAGGAGAATTGCTCTTCCCACAGTGACAATAATCAAAACCCCACAGTGACACTCGCCATCTTAAAAGCGAGTGATGATTGTGAGCCATAGAGCTCAGTACTGATCAACGCTTCTTTTGGTTCAGCCTGTTACAAAGACAGGAATCAACCAAGCAGCTGACATTTGGATCCAAACTCCCCTGAAATTCATAGGCATTCAGGTCTAGAACAGATGTTCCTAACTCCAGTCCAATCTGCTGTCTCAGCTCAGAAAGCAGCAGCGTTCCCCTATAATGTTACTTCTAGAATTTCTCTTTCAAGGTATTATTTGAACTAGAAGATGAAACGACGCCAAGGGGAACTACGCCTAAAGAGAAAACCCGTCAGTGTACTGCTCTGCAGTGTAATCTCGGAGTACTTACATAATGTTGGCTTGGAAAAAACCTTTTCTCAAAGCCCAGCAGCTCAATGTGTCTGATGTATGCATCTTCCATGGCTGTGGTGGGTCCCTGGTACTGAATGCTAGAATCGGGCTGTTTGGCTGCAAGGAGCTTCCAACTGTTTGTCTGGACGTTCAAGGCTGCCCTTGCCGTCTTCTCTATCTGTGCGTCGGGTGGCTTTTTGTATCCGCACTGAAAAGGGGAAGTTGCACTGAGTTCATCAACTTTTAATTGCTTCACCAATTGTTGGGTTTGTGAGTGATCCGCTTCCTGCTACAAGCCTCAGGACCAGGAACTAAGTTCCACCAAATTCGGGTCTCTCCTTTCTCATCGTCAACAGCCTGTAGACGCTATAGGGAGGTGCAGGGTGAATCATGGTCCAGGTGTAACCCACACATGTAGTGGGGGTCACTGTCCTGTGTAGTGGCACTTAGGCCACTTACAAGTGAGAGCTAAGAGCAAGGGAGCTCTACAGCCTAAGCTGAGCGCCAGGTGGTTTTTAGCTCAAGCTGTAGAAGCTCTTAAACTCCAGAGGTCTCAGGTTCCAATCTGCTTGCTGGCAATTACACAGTCACCTCACGAGAATGAGGGGCCCTGAACTCCCAGGAATAAGCAATTGAATGAACACGGTGTCTACAGTGTTGTTGGAGGGAAGAGGTAGATAAGTTGGAACAGGGCTACTCAACACGTGGCCTGCGGTGCGGTTTGGGTTAAGTGGGGCTCAATATGCGGCCTGTGGGTAGGACCCTTGGAACGTGGCCTCCACTGGGAACACGCTCCAAACGACGAGGCATCTCCCGGGTGGGGTGAGCACTGAGAGACACAAGTGGAGGGGCTGGCTGGAACAGACGGGTTCAGGCTGGTGGTGTTTCTAGCCTCCAGGGAGGAGGTGCTGGAAGGGAAATGGGAAGTGCTAGCTGCTTAGTCTTGTGGGCAGAGCCTGAGAGGTGCTGACTGGCTCGCGCTGGCCACATTTGGGTCCGGTGCCGCGGCACACAGCTTAATCTTTGTCTTCATGCCCATCAGTGTGAAATGAGCTATTTGCATATATTTGCATGTATATGCAACCACACTTACGTTGTGGCCCTCGGCATGTCTCATTTTGGTCCCGAGGCTTCCAAAGTTGAGTAGCCCTGCATTGGAGAGTAGGGATAGGGCCCACAGTGACCTAGACAAATTGGAGGATTGGGCCAAAAAGAAATCGGATGGGGTTCAACAAAGGACACGTGCAGCGTCCTGTACTTGGGACGGTAGAATCCCAAGCCTTGTTACGGGCTGGGGACCAACTTTCCTATTAAATAAACCCTTAGTGGTCTGTGATAATCCCAAAACACCTCAATGGGGCAGTTGTTATTGCGAATACACCAAGCATTTGCAGTGACAGACCTTACTGGATTCAAACTGAGGGAACGACGCACAAGGCTTATTGTCTTCTTTTGTTTATTTTGAGTGAAGGGAAATGGCACAAGGAAAGGGGGAAGTGCTTGGACACCGTGGACAAAGAGCAGCGTTGGGCGCTTCTGTCTGAAATATGGTTTCCCCCGGAGGGGAAATCAGAGGATCTGAAAAACCTCAAACGCTAAGGATTTTCAACGGGAGGAGGCGAATGAGAGAGAGGGCCCACAGCTGCGACACCAGTCAGACCGTACGGCTTGCAGGAGATGGCACTCGGACAGGGCTGGCCAGATGGCAGCGGTGCAGGGAGAAAGAGGCGTACAGCCTCCAGACGGCGGAGCTCGGAACGTAGGACGGGAAAGCAGAGGAGCAGACGCACTGGTGCCGAATGCAGGTGGCACACACAGGAGAGCGAGCGTATCAGTGGTTGACAGCAGCCCAGAAGTTGCAGCTAGGAGTACTGGAGCAGCAGAAAGGAATTCCCCAGTCTGCGGGCAAACCCCCTCCCCCCAGCAGTCACCCAGCCTGTATCCACCTTGTCAAGACCCAATAAAAGTCTACACGAGTCCCCAAGATTTCAGGGATACTTTCCAGGTCTGTGGTGGCATGGGCACTAGAGAGGAAGAGGGCGCAGTGAGCTACATTGAGTAACAGCAAGCTATGCCGCTAAGGATCCGGCTTAGTCCAGAGGCAACAGTGTCAAGTTTAGGGAGCTAGAGAAACACGACCGGGTCAGTCAGGGGGAACCTATGTGTAAAGTCTGTCCTTACAAGGAAAAGCTGGGCAAAATATAAAGGGGCAGAAGGGGATTATGGGAAATTGGCTGATTTATATGCCCCAGAACATGTCTTTAATTCATCCTGACAGAGTGCGGGTAACTGCTTGGGCTGCCAATTTGTATTGGGGATTGAAAGAAATCCCCAACAGTAAAGAGATAGGCCCAGATTTGTGGGAGGACGAAGGGAAGGGAAGTGAGGCTAAATATACCTCAAGCGGCTACCCTCCAAGTAACCCACTTGCAACCCCCCGTTCCAGGCCTGAGGCCTTGCGTTGAGCACGACTCCAATGCGCACGTGAGGAGCCTGCCTCCACCTTTCGTCCCATCCTGCCCAGGTTAACACAGCGACGGTGAACTGAGGTCACAGAGGTGCCTATGGGGGTGAGGGAGGGTTGGTAACAGCGTGGAAAGTAACTTCAGATTTCTGACAGGAACGGTCCTATTGCAAGCCGGGTCCCTGCCAGCTCCTTAAATCGCTCCCTCTTGCCGGAGCTGCGCCCCACGGCGCCCCTGCTTCCTCTCACCTCTGGTTAGTAAGCTTTATAAGGTCTGGACCGATGGAGGTGTTCATCGAAGACACCAAGGCCCTGGTTAAAAGGGACATGCTCGGCGAGTCCGACAGGCGCCTGGGGAAAACAGCAGACTTCTCTTTGCGGGTGCGTCTACACTGCAGAGCTATTTCGGGATACTAGAAGTATCCCAAAATAGCTATTCTGCATCTATTGAAGCAGCCCCTTATTTCAAAATAGATTTCAAAATCACGGGCGGCGTATTCCGACATCCTGGTAACCCTCCTTCCTGCGCAGACCGTGCCAAATGATGAAATAAGCGATTTCGAACGCCCTTATTTCGAGCTAAGGGGGCTGTGGGGCTGCTCCCAGTGGGAACATGGAAAGTCACAGCCCCCTGAGCCTCTATAGAGTTGGAGGGGGAGGGGGTGACATGGTATCTAACCATGAGAGTTTGGGATGGCTCCCCGCAGGCTCTTTGGCAGGAAATAGCGTCAGATCTGTGCTACGGGGAAGTGTGCAGCACAGAAGCCCTTTGTCTGGCCCGCGGGGGGGAGGGGGGCAGGGAAAGCCCCATTTCTGGGCAGGGACTTGTCCACAGGGAGGAGCGCCAGCTTCCCCTGTGAAGCAGCCCTGCAAAGCGGCGTTGTTAAGAGTCAGGCTCAGACACTAGGGAGCGGGGCTACTGGACTTTGGAAACCCCGGTGGCCACAACGATACTCACAGCACATGCCGAGGGCCGTAACTTAAGTGTGGTTGCATGGCCATGCAAATCTATGCAAATAGCTTCTTTCACACTGACGGGCATGAATACAAAGCACTTCCCACGATGCCCCGGCACCTCCTCCCTGGGGCCTAGAAACGCCGACAGCCTGTACCCGTGCGTTCCTGCCAGCCTGTCCACGTGCGTCTTTCATGCTCACCCCACCTGGGAGACGCCTTGTCGTTGTGGAGCGTGTTCCCAGTGGAGGCCACGTTCAAAGGATCCCACCCGCAGGCAGGGTGTTGAGACCCACATAAACCCAAACTTCTCCGCAGGCTGCAAACAAATGGGCCTTCATATATACGTCACCGTTACTGTACGGCATACACACGTCCCAACGACCAATCCTCTTGCTCCCCTGGTTCCTGCTAGCAGCTGCTCCGTCTGAGGTCCTGCAATCCCTTCCGCCCACCAGGAGCACTGTGCATGCCTCTCCAGCTCCAGCGCAGCAGCAGACTCCGGTCTCCTCCGTAGCCCCTCTTATACAAACCTGCCACCCTCTGATTGGCTAGCCCCTTGCCCTGCAGCCTCTCTAGGCCACTGGGAAGACTTGGCTCCTCTACTCCTTTCTGGGAGGGAGTGTGGTAGGGCCCTGATGCTACCAGCAGGGGACTTCTGTGCCCGGTCCACCCAGCAGAAAAGAGGAGCTATGGAAGTGCCACGAAGCCAAAAAGGGTGTTTTCTGGCAAATCTGGTCTCACCTCAGAGACCATCCCACTAACAGGGAGGAGACATCCCAGTAATGACAGGTTGAACCTTTCTAGTCCGGCACCCTTGGGACCTGACCGGTGCCAAACCAGAGAATTGGTTGAACCACAAGAAGTCGATATTGTCTGGCAGCACTACCAACACTTCCACTGCTTGCTGGGCGGTTAGAAGACATTTGGGGTAAATCGGAGCAAAATAACAGCACAGAACCCTGAGAGCCAGGACGGGTCGCTGTCAACAAATTGTATGGGACCGCAGGAAACTTGGCCACACCCATGGTAAGTGGACATCCGGTGAACTAGACTACGTGTTTTTTTCCAAAAAACTTCACCCGTGTCTAGACTGCCGCCGCGGTCTTCCGAAAGTAAATCGAAAGAACACGGTAGTTTTTTCGACAGCGGTCAGCCTCATTTTATGAGGGAGAATGCCTTTTTTCGAAAGAGCTCTCAAAAAAGAATCTGTTGCACATCCCACACCACCCGACCCGATTACTGCTGATGCGGATTTCTTTATAATGTAATGTGTACTACGCAACTAAGGAGTAAGAGTGAGCAATGCTTGGCAGAGGCACTGGTGGGGGTGGAGGAAAAGGAAACGGAAGAGGGAGGAAACGTAGCAGGGAGTTTGGTCAATAGGCTGAGTCTGGCAAATTCATCTCTGGGTCTGCGTATGGATTCAACCTTCTCCCTTCCCCGCCCGCCAATTGCATGTGGGGAGAGAGACGAGGGATCCATCAGGGCAGAAATTCTGGGTTCCAATTTTCAACCTTTTCTCAGAGTGGGCTTCCGTTGCACAAACTCAGCGCCTCTCACCCGCGAACAGGGCTTTTGCCAAAGAGAGCCTCCAGATTGCCTGGGTGCGCGCTTTCAAAAAAGCAGATCAAAGAAGTGGCGGCTGTCTCCAGATGATCTCCTTCGAAAGAAGCGGGAGTCTAGACGTACCCTAAGTAAAATCATGCCGGACCACGGATGTTGCCGGATCAGAGTGCCGGATTAAAGAGAGTCCAGCTGTAGTGGAGTTTACAGGAATACAGACCGGG